TTTTATATTTATATATATATATATATATATATATATTGATATTAAAAATTCTACATCAGTTTCAATTGAAATAAATGGCGCAATCTATTTTGCAGTTTTTGCTCTAATTATTTTCGAGACTTCAGCTTTCAGCACACCACTTAAGACTTGAGAGCTAAAAACATATCCTGTTATTATTGGTAATAATTATTTACTAGTACAACACCCGTGTATTACACGGGTGCTTGTTAAGAAAATTATTCTTAAATATTAAAATTAATGAAAATCCTTATTTTAAATTTTATTTATTTTTTTACGAAAAAATATATTATATATTTTAGAATGACAGTGGTTACTTGTGCGACTTACATTGTTATATTTTAGTAATTTTTATAACTTATATCATATAACTCCTTGAAAAATAAATATATAATTGACAAATAATTTTATTTTTCTAATTAATATTAAAAAATAATTTTATTATTGTTATAAAGATAAGTAATTTATTTTTTTTATACATACAATATAGATGTTAAATCGAAACTCATCAAGAGATGATTAATTTGATATATTATATATGTAAAACTAATAAAAAATACAAAAGTTATTACCTTTTAAAATATATTTACGATTCAATGGTTATAATAAAAAATGATATTAAAATACAATTAATACATGTAACATGACCATAAATAATCAACATATTTATGGATAATCCGAAACTAATTATTTTTGAATTGGAAGTAAATTAAAATCTATCCATCTAAGCTTAATAACAACGAACTATGTAATTTTGTCTCATAGAAACCCGAAAAATGCGAGTCTACTATTTAGGCTAAGCACGTTGATTAATATATAGGAGGAATTTTATTACTGGTCATAAATGAATATTTATTTCTGAATAATATTATCTGACGTGGAGTGGTGGACCACGACAAAATGTCTGATAAAGAGATTTGATGGCTGATGTACACGATACAAGTAGGTATATAATATAATAGATGTGTGTAGCTCTTGATTTATAAATTATAATGGATTATTTTGAGAGGAAAGTAGGAAAGTAATTGAAAATTTGTCAAGCAAATGAGGTCCGAATTTTGGAACCTTTTTTTTGACATATTGTCAATGCAACGCACATTTCCTCAAGCCGCGTGAACTTTAAACTAGTCGTTTCTTCAAATTTTGAATGATATCTCGCTGCCTTTTTATCAACGTTTTCTTAAAACATGATTTCTTCAAGATTACATGATTTTACTTATGATGTTCGAGGACAAAACCAAGCGGTCTTTGTTAGCATCGTCGTAGATCTTACTTGATTTCGTTAGAAAATATTTACTACAATTTTTATTCAAAAATCTATATCTATATCTACATAATTAAACATAAAGCGATTAGCATTTGTTAAAAATAGTTGAAAAAAAATCAGCCAACATTATCTACATACTGTAACGTATATGGTGTGAGTATATGGGGCAGATAATAGAGTACGTGGAGTGTGTTTGAACACCAAAATTAAAAACAGAAGCAAATAAGTTTAAAAATCTTTTCGGGGAGCATCCCAACTTGGAGCTCTTCCATTAATAGATCAGTTTGCAAGCACAAAGTACAGTCTAGACTTACACTATATCCGACTCTATTAATCTTTTGATCATGAACGTGGACTTTAAGTAGCTATGGATCCCTCTCAGCTATGCGAGTACTTAATGCCTACGCACAAAAAAGTNAAAAAAACAAAAGTCAATTATTCAGTGGTGTAAGAACACTGAAAAACTGAACCAAATAAACTCGAAAAACTATAAGCTCACATGCAAAAACTATAAGTTTGTGTAAACTTATATACAAACTCTTCAAGGTAAGGAGTCTACAAAGTCCTGCTTGCCTTAGGAGTCGATTTTCTTCCTTCTTA